ACTAAAACTGCAAATTTTGATATTTAATTCGTCACATTTTAAATTTTAAGAGGTGTTTCCGAAAGAAAATTTCACGAGGAAACCAATGGAACCACTTTCAAAACCTCAAAGTTTTGTATGAACGGAGTTATAAGCTTTTAAAGTTTCCAAATTTTGTCCAACTTCTCCCGTTGACTCGTTCCACTAAGCGTCTCTTCTGCCGTTCTAAGGAAGAACGCCGTATGAACATCTGAGAGTTGCCAAATTTTCTCCAATAAAATGTTTATCTTTTAGAAAAGCTGCGATTATTGTCATGGGAACGGAGTTCCCCATGATATTAGAATCGTTCCGTTGCTTTCGCTATGGGATTCCCTATACCTCTGCGACCTTGAGCGTTTCGCCCAGTCTCCGATTTTTGGTTGATTTTCCGATGTATCAAAAACCGTTGTATTTTTTAGCCAATCATGTCTCTACGTCAAGTTGTGTTGATTGCTAAAATTCGCTTTCAGCGAGTTTTTTTCCACCTTGAGATGTCGTGTCTGACTGGTAAATCTGCGCAGAACCACGAAGTTCCGTTTTTAGGCAAATTCTTTTTTTTGGGAGGTTCTGATTGGTTATTTTTCGCCATCAGTTTTCTGTTCGTTGGTGCAAAAGATCGCCTACCTCGGTGTTCTTGAGAAGCCGCCATTATCCCACCTCAAATTTGAAAAATAGAAGTAAAGAAATAATAACCATCGTACAAGGTGGAAAATTGTTCTGGAGGACTCGTTACGGATAAAGAAGTCAAAATCAGAGCTCGATTGATTGATTTAATTCATGGATACGCAAATATTGCCTTAGCTCAACTGCCGCGATCGGAATGCGTGCTGGCATGAACCTCGAGACGCATTAAAACAGTGCGAACCATGGCTCCTACAGCAAAACAGCAATGCGCTTCATATCATCCCAAAAGCAGTCAAGGTCTCTTGTGATAAGTCCCGCCCATTGCCCGAGTCTTTTGTATGCTATTTTTACTCTCGCCCACGTGGATCCATTATAGCCTAGTTGACTAAACCGCCTCGTATTTTTGATTCGGTGCGGGCACCCGGCGATCGGGAGTTCGATACCCGACGATGGGAACTACTTTTTAATGGTTGTATTGAATGTTTTAGACTAATCATCAAAAAATAATTAATAGTAGATGATAAATGTACGAACATTTTCTCGTGAGTTAATATGTTAAACAAAAATACTGGAATATACCTCCTTCATATAATCAGCCACATGTTCCCCCAAATTAATGACGTTATTTTCTTTTTTCAATAAAGTTAATTTGCATTCAACGTTCGTAAGTTAAGCAAAAAGTACCTATTGATACAAATAGAAAGACATGAAAATAGTATGTCTGACATTTCAGTTTTTTTTTTTTTTTTATTTATTTTTTGTTTTTTTGTTTTTTCAATAAAACAAATTGACTGGGACTAGAATCATCGTATCTCTGAAGACAAAAGCTAAGTTTTTTGATACAGAAATACTAATATATTCATCCTTTATATAATCAGGGAGATGTTGACCCAAATATTGATGTATATTTTCTCTGTTCGCCCAAATTAATGATGGTATTTTCTTTTTTCAATAAAATTAATTTACATTCCACGTTCTTAAAGCAATATTTTCTCCAAAATTCAGCAAAAAATAACAATTTATACCTACGCAAAAAGTAAATAAATAAATAAAGCAATGACATGAAAGTAGTATAGGTAGTACACATCTAACATTTCGGTTACATCTATTTGAATGAAAAAAATGGCAACTTAGGAAGCACATAGGTCACTTATCGACGGTGAAACTACCAAACCACGTATCTCGGTTTGCGACGTCGCAGACTTCCTGTCATACTTTATTTTTTAAATGAAAAGCTACTTAACGTCCAGTCTTGAAAATTTCCGTGATTTTTCCTCTTCGTGCGGAGAAAATTCTGTGAAAATTTCAAGGAATGATATTGATTTGGTCTACTTCAAAAAAATAAAATGTGAGCGGAGATTTTTAAACACCGCAAACGAGATACGTGGTTTGGTAGTTTCACCGTCGTTATGATGCGTATTCGGGCATATGCGTAGAGTAAAAATATCATACTTTACGCCGAAAAAACGAAACTGAAAGTTAAATGCGTTAACTTCCAAAAACCATACATAATCCAACGAAAATAAATAATTGGTAAATAACAGCTTTCTTGTATGCAAAGAAAAAAAATTAAAAATGTTAAAAAAGAGATGTCGACACAAAATTACATAGCCCCTTCAATTCTGAAGATACTACAAACGAACTGTACCTTAAAATTTTCATATCCCAGAAGCAAAAGTTCCCATGACGAATATTGCTATCGCTAGCGATTGCAAAAACCAACTTGTTTTTCCTTAAAATTTTCAGAAAATTAAGGTAAAATTGCGAACAAAATTTCATGAAAAATTGGAAGAAAAATATTGACAAATTTTCCCAAGAAATCCTGATTTATCAGAGTAAATTTGGCAACGTCGGAAGGTTCATACGGCGTTCTTCCTTATCACGGCAGTCTTCGAGCCATGAGAAATGCTGTGGTTACGGAAGAATTTGAGCCGATAGGACGACTATGAATACTTACAGTAATCACTTGAATTTCTTGAGGAAACTTTGCGCATCTGGTCAGAGACAAAATATTTCAGAGAACTCACATAACAATCCAAGTTTAATTCAATAGGGTGAAGCAAAGCGCAAGTTTAGGTTAGCCGAGTCGAAATCATCCAACTCAGTGGCGTGGCGTGTTTTGCGTTTAATCGATTGATCTACCATTTAAACCTATGGAAAAGGATCAATAAACAGGGTGTTTGTAACGGAAACCTTAATAATCGATTCTTCACCGCAGTTTCAAATGGGGAAATATCGATAATCGATCATTCATGCCTCGCCACTGATCCAACCCTTTATTTCCGAGAGCATGTCATCATATAATGTAATTTGATTGTTCTGAAACGAACTGACATCATGGGAAAAAGTCCGCGTTTTGTATGAGATCAAAATCGTTCTTAAAATCATAGAAACGAGTCCTGAAACCTTTCATGTAAATGAGCCACTCTGATAACCGAAACGCACCATGTCTCATAAAGTTTAAACCGAGAAAAATAGGTTTGTTGAAATGTACTGACGGAATTCAACGAATTATTTCAAGTTCAAAATATTTCTCTCGAATTCGAATTTTTGATGGAAGTTTACGATTAACTAAATTCAACACTGATCGTACGTGACTCGGTACGTTTCTGTTTAACTCTGTTCAAACGTTCTCAAAATATCGACAAATTATCAAACGAGAGAACTTTCAGTGTAAACAATTAATTTGTCCGACGAAAGGAGGCCACACGTCATTTTAGGGCCACCACTAGAAATATGACTATTGGGTGCATTATACAAGCTGATTCGCAATATAGGAGGCGATTCAAATTTCTCGGGTGCGCTAAGGGAGTCTCAAGACATTACTTAGAGGGCCTCCTGAGACGGACAAAAAACTTTACTGCAATGCACGCAAAAAACACTCATGGTGTTTTTTTGCACACCGCCCTTTTCCCATAAAAACTCGAGAAAAAATTTACTTTGATGAGTTAGAAATAGGTCGGAGTCGGAATGATAAAACTGCTATCCAATCCAGTAGATGACACTTCGAAAAGCAATTCTACTGTGCGAGTCTCCTTGTCATTTCGCATTTGAAAGCAGCCAGAACTTTATTGAAAGAATTATTCTCTTAATCAATAATCTGATGTAGTTCAATGTGCTCCGAAAAAAATAAAATAAAAACATGAAAAGGAAACCACTCCGATGAAATCTAGAATGTTCACGGTTGCTGTTGTTTGATTATTTCAGCGGCATCACTGGTATGTTTTTTGCGATGTCAATGAAGAGTGCTTCTTGTCAGTCAATGGGGCACCAGGCAAGGTGCGAACTAGTGAAAGCGCTCTGTTGCATATTTTCCCTTCGAAACTGTTTGTAAAAAATGGTGCATACGACTTGAATTTTAGACATCAACTCCTAAATACGGTATCGGTATTTGGACCGAGTTCATCAGAAAGGAACTAGCCCACATTAATTTGCAACTGAGAAAAAAAGAAGTTTTATTAAGTTTTGAAGTTTTATTCCTGCACGAGGCTCAATGTAGAAAATAAACTTTAACTCCTCTTTCCACAAGCCAATTTCTAATTTCCGACTTTCAGATTTTGACAGGAGAAAATAAACGACTAGTGAAATTCAAAAACATTCTTGACTCGATTTTTTCGAAAATATGGGTTGGTTTCCTTCTGATAAACTCGGTTCATTTCTAATTGACACTACTGAAAAGTCAAAAATGCAAGCGATGGCACTTGTAAGGCATGAGTTTCATTTGATCTGTGGTTAGTGTGCTTTTGAATAGTTCTTTTGGGAGTTGATCACTGAACTTTTGTTGTGAGAATCTCTACTTGGGTAAAATTTAAAAGAGAAAACTTACAACATAGTGTTTCGATGTACAGATTAGATTTCATCTCTTTTTTGCTCTACGAAAATCAACAAATAAAATAATCAATTCGAAATTATAAATACATTGTGAATTGGAATATCAAAAATAGAAAAAGAAAGAAAAACGGAGACTTGACACATCCTAAGGCAAGGCTTTTTGTCAGATTGCATCTACCAATTGAATATAAAAGGGGAAAAAGTGACTAAAGATAAAGTCATAATGTGGATAGAATAGATCTTATTGGAAAAAAATTATAATGGTAAAAAAGTAATATCCTGACAACAGGAATATAGTAACAATAGTGTTGCGATGGATTGCACTTTTTTTTGCCAATGTTTTCCGAATGTGAGAGGCATCTCTTTTCGCCGAATCTAAATTTTTATGAGAAGGATTTTCATTACGTTTCACCGAAAAGCTCATAAAAGGCATGCATGACGAACGGTGATTACTGTTGCCGTTGTTGCTTCTTTTTCCCCGTTTTTTATTTTAATTGTGCGTCGGCTCTCTTCTCACGTTGAAGTGCGGTATAAAATGGCCTACGTCTGACGTTTCACGTCATGGAGACACGTGACGTTGGTGCTCGTTGAAATCCTCGGTACATTTCCTCCTTCCTCGACGAATTTTCGCGATTATATATTAGTGCCTAGTGCAGCGTCTGACATGATCTCGCGATGGTCGCGAACGGAGTTCTATCTTCATTTTTAGTGCTTGGGGTCCTATTTCTGATGGTGAGTACTCTCTAACTATACATAGACAGTCCAAGATTTCTAGAATTTCTTAATTTTTCAATTACTCACTTTTTCCAGACTTTTTTTGCTTTTCCATGACTCCAAAATTTCCGGAACACCTGACTTTTCTCTGACATTCTCTGACCTTCCAGCATAACCTCTTTTTAAATCCAACGAACTTCACCTCTAGAATGGCCGCCAGATAGCAAACCTGCGTAACGCACATGGGACGGTTTTTGAGGGCAGGAGGGGGGTAGGAGCTCAAGTATAGCTAACCTCAAGCTCCATTTCTGCTGCGTCTTGCACATAAGGATTACGTGCGTGAAAATTTCAACCTTTGTAAACTTTAATTATTTTGAGGTTTGCTTTCAAAGTTCCTATTTTTTGAGTAAAGAAAACCTTTTGAGGTGCGATTATTATGCCATATGCCATATTTTTATTGCTATCACTTTATTCCACTAAATTGGGGCAAAAGGTGGGCAGTGTTTTACATAGGTTTAGATGGCAGCCTGCTGTGTGAGCCCAAGTACACCTAACCTATATCAACTTCAAAACGTTACGGGTCTCTGACACTGGTCAGACATTCTAGAGGTGTAGTTCGTTGTTTAAATCTTAATCATTCTCATTTTTTTGCTGACAATTGGTAATCTTGGAGCGAAATTTCCATATCTAAAGATTCGTTTTGTGGAAGAAGCTCCCTGAATATGTTTGCGCTCTCGCAAATGGCATCAACGGGTCGATTGTTGAATTATTATCAAATTAGTTTGATCGATAACTCCCTATCCTCACAATTCTATAAATCGATGAAGGTCATTCGATAACGATTCAAAAATGTGAGTAGCCGATACGCTACTCACGAAATTCTTTGACTTTTTATCATGAAATACCTGACTTTTTCAGGTTAACATCATCTCCCTCACTTACGAGTTTTTTTTGACAACAAAATCGGTTCCTAGGAATGAATGGAGAATAATAATTTGAAATTATGATTCTCTTTTTGGTGTGGCGGGGGAGGGGAGTGGGCAAACTACGGTTGAGATATTTCTTCAAACTTTTTGGATGTTTCGCCGATTTTATCAAAAAATTATCCGCTAAAAAATATTATAAAAGCGCCACATTTCTTACCTTGATAGGAGGCCCCTAAAATAACACTCAGAAGTTGCAAATTTATCATAAAATGGTCTGTTTTTATTATCACCAGGCCCGTTTTCAAAATCAGTATCGCAATTTTTCCTCTCTATCTCTAGACGGATACATATTGAATTTTATTTAAGCTCGTGAACGTTAGTATTTTACCAGAATTTCATGTGCCAAAGGTATTTTTTTAAAAATGGTTAAGTTTTTTTTCCTTCATCTCAATAAGAAATCGAATATGTCCAAAATACATGATTTTTGTAAAAAGGGAAAATTATCATATGCCTATTCAAACATTCAAGAATTTCCTCATACAGATGATAAGGGAAGCAATTTTAGCCCTTTTAAAACAAAAATATGGTCCTCAGCACACTCTGAACGCAAAAAAATATTATTAAAACCTTAAACTTTATGGATTTTCAATTTGTGGGGCATGTAAGTCAACCAGCTTCACACAAACACTGTGCGATATTTGACCACCCTTGGTTGCTCAAATTCTAATATTCTATAAAATACCAACGACACATGAAGCTTGCATATGACAAGTTCTTTAGCCAAAATGTAACGTGTTTTTGATTCGAAGTAGGTAAAACAGTATTTTGTAAAGTTTTTCGGGAAAACTTTATCTTTTTTTTGGGAATGACACCCTGTTTTGAAAGGCATACTTCATTCAACCTCCGACTTTAAAAACATGCGACAACTGTACCTCTGCATTTTAAATGTGTAAACATACAAAAAAGAAGCCATCGTGAACGGTATTGAACTTTACGTGATAAAAGCACAGCTGCACATCCCACATTTTTACCGATTGCGGATTAAAATTCCAGCTCCAGTATTCGCACAAGAATCAAAAGCTGGTACTAGACTAGCATGCCTTTTTCTTGGTGCTCTTTTTTCCTTTTTCTGTCTATTTTACATGAAATTTCTAAGTCTCACGCGATACGCGATTCTGGGAACGCTGTATAAATATTCGCGTTATAGCCATCAAGCAGCGTTGCGAAAGCAAGTTCATGAAGATACATTGAGGTACTTTCCAAGGATAATTTCTTGAAATTTCTGACTCATTACTATCGATTAAACTTCTCGACTTTAAATTAAGTGCAACTTATGTTAACAAAACTAATCAGCTTTATATGAGATAAAACTTCAGCTAGTGATGTAATTTCTTCATGAGGAACTTCTTAATTAACGAGCAGTAATATAAGTAACCGAATGATTTCTTCACGTAATTCCGGTTTTTTGACACATGAGAACGATATAAAAACGTCAAATAAGACCTCGTTTGTAACATTTATTGTCATGTTTGATGTTTTGCAACATCATTTTAAATGCCCAGAATTCAAACTCCGAACGAGGAAGAAAAAATAAATTAGTAGACGAAAATGCGTTGACTGTAGGGGTAAATAGGTCCATCGACCCCTACACTTGACATATTGTTACCTCCTTGAGGGTTTCTCTGCATGCGTGTGGAATTGTAACGTCCTAACAATTTGAGAGACCTACAGGAACGTCGAATTTGATGCTGAATGGACCGCGATAAGCAGAAAGGAACCAAGCCTTATCAGCTAATGTATGTATGAGCCGCTTTTACGGCGCGCTAGGGCGCTCTGCGACGCCTATTCTCCACAGGAATCTGTCATGGTAGAGATCCTCTGGAAGCTGGCATCTCTCCATCTCTTCATGGATGCCCTCTACCCACCGTTTGGCTGGACGCCCTCTCCGTCGCCTACCTGGGGGGACCCACTCCAACACCTTCTTCGGCAACCTGGTATCAGCCATTCTCTGCACATGCCCATACCATACCAATTGCTTGGTCATGATATCGTGCACAATCGTCCCCTCAACGCCCATTATCTCTCGGACACGTTCATTCCTGACACGTTCTCTCCTCGAGATTCCAGCCGATCTTCGCCAGAAATCCATCTCGGTCGCCTTGAGCATTTCTTGGGTCCGCTTCTTCAACTGCCACACTTCACTGCCATAGGTGATAATAGGCTTGACAACCGAGTTATAAATCCTCTTCTTGTTGTCTTTGGAAATCCTTTGGTCCCAAAGGATCCCATTAAGCATGGCGATGGCTTTCCTTCCTAGAAGATTACGGTCCCGAATGGCCTGATCCAGCTTCCCATCCGAAGTCAGGTTCACCCCCAGGTACTTGTATTGTTCGCAACTTTCTATATGTTGACCATCCTCCAGGACTATGCTTTGCTGAGCGCCTCCGACTGACATCTTTTTTGTCTTACGGACACTAACCTCGAGGCCCCATTTGCGGTACTCCTCCACCAACTTCCGGGTCATATACTCCGCGTCATCGTGATCTTGACTTATGACTACCTGGTCGTCAGCAAAGCATAGCGTGAACAGTGTTTCTTGGTCATTTAGAGGGACGCCCATGCCGGCACACTTTCTTTTCCATTCCTTCAGAACGTGCTCTAGATATATCTTAAACAGCGTCGGTGACAGACAACATCCCTGCTTAAGCCCCTTGGTGACAAAAAAACCGTCTGAAAGCCTTCCTTGGCACTTAATTCTAGCAAAAGCCCCCCGATAAAACTGCTTGACTGCCCCAATAAGTCCTTTACTAAAACCAGTTTCTTCTAGGACTTCCCAGAGTTTCACAAGAGGAATACTATCATAAGCCTTTTCAATATCCAAAAACACTAAATGAAGCTCCTGGCCAACAATTCTCTTCTTTTCGGTTAACTGGGTAACACAGAACAGATGATCAGCGGTAGACCGACCAGCCCTAAAACCTGCTTGCTCCTCCGCCTCGAACGGGGTCCACTCCTCTTCGATCTTCGCTTTCAGCACTTTTCCATAAATTTTACTTATCGTTCCTGTCACCGCTAACCCTCTGTAGTTCCCACAGTCATCCTTCCTTCCTTTTTTATGCGACGCTGTTATCCAGGCCTCTTTCCATTCTTTCGGGATGTCATCACCGTCAATGCACTTCTGCAGCAAATCCCTGAGATGGTTAACCAACTTGCCAGTCCCACATTTAATTAACTCGGCTGGAATGTTTCCTGGCCCAGGAGCTCTTCCATTCATCAATTCCCTGATTGCTTTGACCACCTCCTCAACTCGAATTTCCATTGAGTGATCCTCGACTATATTTTCAGCATTCCCCGTTTGAAACTCTGGTCGTCCTTCCGTCAATAATTTATTAAAATGTTCGTCAAGCTGTGAGATTGTTATCGGAGATATAATGTCCCGTTTCATGTCCCTTCTTAGGCCTTTGATCAGCTTCCAGCTCTCAGCACTCTTCCTTCCCCCCAGGTATGTGTCAATCCTTGAGCAGTTGGTCTCCCAAGACTCGTTTTTCTTCCTGGTGATTAAAAGACGAACCCTCGCCTGGGCTTTCCTATACGCGCCGCGGGTGTCTGCAGTCCTAGAAGCCAGATAATCATGGTACTTCTTACGCTTTTCTTCAATTACCTCCTCTACCTCTTTGTCCCACCAGTAGGGTTTCTGTACATCCTTGCTCTCATTACACATACCCAGGGCTTCCTTCGCAGCTGAATGTATGCAACTTTTGATGAACTGGTACAACTCTTCTGCAGTATCGAAAGTTTCTACTCCCAGTTTCTCATCCAGCCGCTTCCTGTAGAGCGCTTTCACGCTTTCATGCTGTAAGCTATCGATGTTGTAGTGCACTTGTTCGATCTTCGTTCCTTGTGGCTGGCACTTCTGATGTTGCAAGGTATTCCTCTGCAGCCCATACTTAACCGGAAATGCAATCTCCGCCTTGAGAAAATGGTGATCACTACCACAGGAGAACCCCCGGCAAACTCTTACTTGTTGAACCTTCATGGTACTCGTTTGCCTGGTGACCGCGTAGTCGATGATTGACTTCAGCCCCCGAGTTTGCTGAACCCACGTGTACTTATGGATATCTCGATGTTGGTAGAATCCGTTCAGTATTTTCAACTCGTTTTGTTCACACATATCAATAATGCGTGCACCGTTGTCATTCATCGCCTCTTCACCGAAAGGTCCAACAACTTTAGAACCATTCCTTCGTCCGGTTCTACCATTCAAATCTCCCATGATAATGACCTCCCTTGTCCTTCCAACCCTCAGAACCTCGTCGTTGAGTTGCTCAAAGAACTGATCCTTTAGATTGACGGGAGCATCATCATTCACACCATATACTCCTAACAGGGCCACCTTGTGACCATGCAGTGTAAGATGCATTCTGATGATCCGCTGGTCTACTGCTTCCCAAGTAGTTATAGACGGACGCAAACTTTTCCGGATAAGTATGGCGACTCCTTGCTGTGCGCGTTGATCTTTACTGACACCACTATAGAACAGATCATAACATCCTAAGTTTTCTGATCCTGTGCCTTTCTTTTTCGTTTCTGTTAACACGGCGACATCTACATTATACTTTTTTACCTCCGATACAACCTCTGTCAATTTATTAGAAATGCCCTGTACATTCCATGTCCCAAAAACCATTGTCCTTTTCCGTAGTTTGTGTCGCAAAATCCGTTTTTTTCCATTATCACCGAGGCTATCTTTATTAGGCTTTTTAACATTAAGTTTTTTTCCGGGTATCGGGGAGTTAGCCCGATGCCCCAACCCCCAACCTGGAGGACCAGGGTTTGATTTTGGAGTACCGTCTCCTAGACAGGCTGCTTTCACCACAGCTATGAGCCCTGTCTGCCCCTCTGATGAGTGGTTCATACGCCATGAAGCCGGTGACCATCTTCACCCCCCTTTAAGGCAGGGGCTACCAGCTGGGGTCCGCAGGCTTGCTAAACCTGTGACAGTACTGAGTACAGTCCCCCATACGGTACTTATCAGCTAATGCCAAATTGAATTGGGCACTTTAACTTTTTACATGAAAACGGTTGTGCGGAGTTTTGTGCAAATTTCAGTGAATTTTCTACACGGTACAAAGCACATTCCTTAGATTTTTCAAAGGAATCCGCACAAACGCCCTTTGAAAAAATTAAGGAATTTGCTTTGTACTGTGCAGAAAATTCACTGAAATTTGCACAAAACTCCGCACAACCGTTTTCATGTAAAAAATTAAAGTGCCCACATAAAAGTAATAACTAATGTTGCTTGGTTCCTTTCTGCCAAACGCGGTCCAAATGTAACATTTTTTTCACTGCCTTCATGATTGATTTACCTGAAGAGTTATTTTTTAACCGGAAATTTCAGGAGGTATCCATAGGGAATCCACTGACCCTATTGGGTCCCCATCAGAATTCCATGGATCCCATTGCGTCCCCATACAGGTTCCTATCGGATGCCATGAACCAACTGTTGGTCCCCATTGGGATTTCGTGTATCCCATTGGGCGCCCATAGAAACCTGATGGGTCCCTATTAGAATCGAATGAGTTCCTATAGGACCGCGTCAGGGTGTCTACGAGAAAAGTTTGGCCAAATATCAGTACCTTTACAGTACTTTTCCAGTGCATTCCCGAAAATTCAGCACCTCTCCGACAGAAAAACTCAGTACTTTTTCAGTACCTCCAATCAACGAAATTTTAAACATTCCAAAAAGAATTTCTCGCTCAAATTGCGACAAAAATGACGAAAAAATAAACAAATCCGGACCTTTTTGCGGAATTTCTGCATTTTTCAGTACTTCTGGACCGTCCTTAAAAAATCAATGCCATTTCCGGACTTGCAGACACCCTGACCATGAACCCCCTATTGGTCCCCATTGGGATTTTGTGAATCCCAATGGGCACCCATAGGCACCTGATGGGTTCCCATTGGAATCTGATGGGTTCCTACAGGACCGTTTTACCAGGGGATGGACTTTCCCCTTTAATGCTTCTTGTTTTTTTCGCTTTTCTCGAAAGGTTCTCACGGGGGTCGTGGCTCCCGGCGGGAAGAACGGACAGGCGGACAGGCCGTCATCGAGCTCATCGCGAGGATGGTCCAACGTCGGCGTCTCGACGGACGAAGAACGGAAATCCCCTGTCAGCTGTTTCGCGGGTCTCTTCGTCCAGAAGAAGAGCCCGAACGAGTCGACAAGCCACAACGGGAACGGTTCCTCGAGTCACAACAGGAACGGCTCGAACGGCAAGAGCAAAAAGAACGGCCGGAAACTCAGCTTCAGTAACTCCAAGAAGAAGTTCGAGAGCACATACAGTGGCGGCGATATTTTGAACCCGTCTTCGCCGAACAGCATGCCCTCTCATCGAGACCCCTACACTGGCCTCCTCAAAGACTGAACGTCCCCGTCCGATCCAATTTTTATATTTCCCTAGTATTCCGAGACGTAAATAAATTTTCAGTCGGATCATAATCTTGCAAATCATTTCTCAATGGCACTGATGGCAAAGTCACTGGAAAAAAAAAATTCTTGAGATCATTGGCGGATCCAGCAAATTGGCAACATTGTTTTTCTCAATTTAAACCTATGGAAATGTATCGATTCTTGGACGGGCCAGGTGCTCCGACAAGAATCGATTATTTAAGATACATAGGTTTAAATGGAGGGAATCCGGCGTTGCCAAGTTGCTGGATCCGCCTCTGCTTGAGATATTATTTTGACTAAAAGCGGCGCACAGTGGAGCGAGTCAATAGGAGAGGTCGAACAAAATTTGGAAGCTTTAAAAGCTCCTGAAAGCTTTTTGTATGAACGGAATTCTGTTCATACAAAATTTTGAGGTTGTAAAGGTGGTTTCATTTGTTTCCTCGTAAAATTTTCTGCTATGAACACCCCTTGAAAAATGTGAAGAAATGAGCATCAAAATTTTCAGTTTTGGTCAAAAAGTTTATGTCTGACCTCTGTAATTCACTAAATCCACTGTACGGCATTTCTTGTCGACAATTTTTTTTTTTTTTTTTTTTTTTTTTTTTTTTTTTTTTTTTTTTTTTTTTTTTTTTTTTTTTAGTTCAAGAGACCTTTTTTGTTATCGCTTTTTTAACTTAACTTGCATTAGTCCCAAAAAAAGTGTTTGGCGCCAGCTAGAGATACGGTTTCGCGTCAGTCCAAAATGGGACTGGATCAACCCAGTAGTGAATAATCTTGAAATTTGGCAACACTGTTCCTCGATTTAAATGCATGTGAAACGATCGATATTAGGTGAAGCAGCGTGCCTCAACCGTCGTTGGATCAACCTAACCTCTGGCTGTACCTTCACACTTCTGGCCAGTGGCAAAATCAGCCAGAAATATAGTTGAAATAATCATATTTTTTCCTAGATACACTCCTTTGCCCTCATGCACTAAGGGCCTTGAACATAGTCGTTCCTTATACAGCTCCGTTCCGTAGGAGCCTCTTTGCGGTTTGCATGGTTCTAAAGGGAGTTTTAAGGAAATTACATAGCATCATAAAAAGGACAATTGGATGGCATTTAGCAAAAAGGAACCAGCGCGATTACTGTGTTTTTCAACATTGTGCAACTTTCTCTCTCTTTTCAAAATACTCAATAAAAATAAACTGGATTAAAATTTACACAATAATTTTCCATTAAAACCGTTGATTTTTTGGTGGGAAGCAAAAAATATTTGCTATTCTGGAAGATTTTTTTTTTGATAATCATGAAAAGGCAACATTTTTACATCACTGTAATCGTGTTGGTTCCTTTTTGCTAGTTGCGATCCAATTCTAACTAATCTCTTGTAGAATGCAACAAAATCAGTTCGGAAAAAAATTTGGTATCTTTTCAAAGATTTTCTAAACATCTATTTGTAAATGCTTCGATAAAGCATCAAATCATCAACTATCAACACATGCATACTTTTTCGAGTAGCCCATTAAGATGTATTGCATTTTTTTCGCTTGTATTTTTCGGATTTATGAGACGTCCGATTTCGCAAAATCTGAATTTTTTTGTGAGACGGTTTTCTTATATTTTACAGAAAATCTTGATACAATGCATGACGAACTAAGTTTTCTTTTTTTTAAAGAAAAAAAAACTTCAATTTTCAACCTTTTCAACTTTTTTCAAACTTTTTTGACCTTCAATCAAATGGTCCGTCGGCTCTTTTCTCACGTATAAGTAGTAAAAAATGCCCCGCGTTAAACGTTGCATGTCAACGGGACTCATGACGTTAGTACTCGTTCGATTCCTCGGCAGAATTCCTCTTTTTTTGACGAATTTTCGCGATTGAGCTCCAGTCCAACTAGTGAGTTGCTCTCGCAATGGCTACGAGTGGTGTTCTACCTTCTGTTTTAGTGCTTGGGGTCCTCTTTTGCACGGTGAGTATCCATTAAATATGTATGCAATCCCAATCGATTGTATTCGATACTGGTTCGATGTATCGTTTGGTTCAAAACAATAAAACATAACCTCAACCAAGATTTTAGGAATTAAGTTGGAAAAGCTGAAAATGAGAAAATTCTCAACAATTTCACTTTTTATTGCCATATTGTACTCATTAAAATCAAAAATCTATCACAGAAAAACTCGTTCCCTCAGATTTCTTGATTGACTTTTGAGGCTATGTTTACATGCTGAACCAATCGATTTCGATACAATTTCATCTGTTTGATGTATAGAATACGATCCATAAAATCGTTTCCTCGGATCGTACAGAAAATGGGGGAGGGAGGGCTTCAAGAGGGAGGGAGGCATACTCCGATTAAGATATTTTTGTTGTTAACCAGCAGATTTTTTAGGGAAGTCTCTACTTGAAAAGATGGTAAAATCGCCTTTTTATAACCCTGATGAGAAGTCTTCCAAGAACCACATAGAAGTTCAAAGTTCTGCTTATCATACCAAAGGCCTGATTTTGGTATCATCAGGCCCGTCCTACGAGTAGAGATCATTTTTTTTGCATTTTTTTCAATGTCATGAGGGATGCACCCCGAATTGTATACGAGCGCAACACCTTCGGTGTCTTTTACATTGGCCATAATTTTATTTGTTAAAGGGTATGTTTCAATATGGTTTCGTTTTTATTTCAACTACAATTCAAGAACAATTTCTTGAAAATCACATAGAAGGCAAGTCTGGTCATTTTCAAACAAATGTGAAGTTCTCAGATCGCTATGAACTCGAGCAAATTGTACGTCACGTCTAAAATTTTACAAAATTTCAATTTGAGGAGAGTGGTTCCAATTGGCTTCAAAAAGACTTTAAAAATCTTAGTTTCATCAGGAATTTTCACCAAAGAGAAGAGTACGCAAAAAAAGAAGGCGGATTGGTGTCACAAGTGGTTACAATGCGATTATTAGAACACGGCAAAAATTTGCGTCATTTCATGTACACCCGACACTTTATGCTCAAATCCTGATATCCTGTAAAACTCAAATAACCTGAAAAAGCTCGAGCAAAAAAAGTTGTTTAGCCAAAATGTAACGAGTACTGGGTTCGGGAAGAACTAGGATTTTATTCAGTTTCTCGGAACTTCTTCAGCAATTATTTAACACCGAAAAAAAAGGATGTTTGTGTGCGACAACTCACGAAACGCTGAATTAACCGCCACAGCAATTAGTCTTATATCTTAAAATTGCCGAAGTAACTGCTGTAACGGTTAATTCAACGTTTTGTGAGTTGTCGCACACTTTTTCACTTCTAAAATGTAAAATCAGCATCCTTTTTTTTCGGTGAATTGATAAAATCACCTTGTTTTGAGTGACGTATGTTCACAAAGTTTCGACTTTGAAAACATTTGATGACAAAGCCTCTTCATTTTGTCAATGGGTATGATTAATTGGATAGAGCCATACCGTGATCCATATCGACTTTTACGTGATAGAACACAGCTGCTTGTATCGCATTCGTCAAAATCGCGGGTCAATCAAAAGCTGGTGCTGAACTCGCACGCCCTATTCTTCATTCTATTTTTTCTTCCTTTTTTTACAAACAATATCTGAGGCACACGCGATTTTTTCTGGGAACATTGCATGGAAATTCCCGCCAGCAGCCGCACAGCCAGACTGGAGCGTGCATACGAAAGCAAGTTCATGAAGATAAGATACACCCAACTCCTTTCAGAGGCAAATTTCTTGAAACCCCTGTCTGGCATACTATCCATGAAATTAAATAAATTAAAATTTAGTGTACCGAAAGGTAACAATTTATTCTTACTGCTACTCACTAAAGGATATCACTGAAAAAAAAAATGTGTGCTCAAACATGATGATTCTTGACTTTGCCGCCGAGAATTTTATTTGTATTGATTTAAGGAAAACAATGCTTAGGTTAAGCAAGACAGGTAATTTATATTGAGCAACGAAGTTCTTGTTGTAAGAACAAATACTTCTCGGAGGCAAATTTAAGATTCTTTTTTTTTTTTTTTTTTTTTCCAGTGATATCATGGTGATATTTCAATGCGCTGGCCGCTTGCAAGTCCCAATCTCAACAGGGAACAGGGGCGGATCCAGCAATTTGGCAACAACGGATCCCCTCCATTTAAACCTATGTTAAATAATCGATTCTTGGAGGGGCCAAGTGCCCCTCCAAGAATCGATACATATCCATAGGTTTAAATGGAGAAAAACGATGTTGCCAGTTTGCTGGATCCGCGAATCTCTCTGAGTGACATCGTGGTAAACAGGAGTATATTCGTTCAGCAGACAATTATTTTCATTCCCAGATGCATCAGTAATGTACGATTTAACAAAAAATTTGGTTGATCAACCAAGTCCCTTTGATTTCTTGGGCCGAAAATTAGTAACTCAATCAAGTTCTCAAAGGAACTAAAAACCCATACTTTTACTGTGTATGAATACAGCTCTCAGAATTCTTTCGTTTAAAATATATCTTCAGCTTTAGCTTAGTGCATTCTTGGTAAGATCGATTTAAAAATATTTCCAATTTTTACAATTTTGGTTGATTATTTTGGAAAAATAATCAGTATTTTTTCTATTCATATAGATCACCGGGGAATTTTCGTGCCGAAAAGTATCTTCCTAAGTCTGAAAACGGGCAGAAGTGCTGTTTCCAATTAATTGAAAAAAATAGCAAACTGAAATTTCAGTCTGTAGATAAATCATTAAGAATGCCAGGGCCAAAAATAATCTTCCAAACTCTTAAAATGAGGTCAAAAGCATTGTTTCCATTTTGCAACCGTAATCAATGCATCAATAATACAGATTACGGATGGTTAGTTAGAAACAGTGCTTTTGATCTTCAAATAACTTTTGAGTATGCTTTTCGACACGGGCATTCCTCAGTGGTTTATCTCCAGACTGAAATTTCAATTTTTCCAAAATAATCCATCGAGAGGTCAGAATTTGAAATAAATCGATCGTACCCAGAATGCATTGCACAAAATTTGAAGATCCATGATAATGCTGATTTAACAATATTTAAGGTAAAAAAAGTGTTTGGCATGTTCCAAATAGGCTTTTACAATCAAAAAGTGCGTATTAAACCACCCCTGCGGTTAAATCGGCATTGTAATATTAGCTTCTCATTATTGTAAAATGTACATTTGAAACATATGTTTTTAACAATTCAATTGTTAAATCAGCAATCCATTTTTCCGTATTAATGCATCGTGCGTTCTCCTTTTCTTTTTAAAGATCCTCACTGGGGATGGTACCGTAAAAACGGGACCCCCACACGAAGCGACGAGCTCATCGCCCGGATGGCCGTTGGCTAAAATCTCAATAAGCCCAGTGTCTCCAACTTCAAACCCGTTGTCTCACACCTCAAGCCCGGTGTCTCGAACCTCAAAACAGGGTTCTCAAGCGGAGTCGCATAAAAATCCTGGCTGCTTCGGTTTTCTGTCCCCTCATAAAAAAACCTCCGGCGATCAGAAAAAAACCCAAGGCTACGTAAAGAGCCAAAACAGTGGATGGGGCTCCAAGCTCAACAGGATTTTCCGGAAGAAGCCCAAGGGCCGTTACAGTAACGGGGTGCTTTTGAATCCGGACAAAGCGAAAGATATGCCTCCTCACCGCGCCGCAAACGGGCTCCTTCTCAGGGATAGACCTTTTTTGTCCGAACATCAAGATGAAATTTCACCACAGACACACGAAATTTCGGGAGAAAATTAATAGATTTTCAGTATATATATATAAAATCGTTGCGCGGTTGATAGCGAGAGTTACACTGAAAAAAAAGCTCGGCTTAGGTATGAAGCTTCTTTGAATTCGCCCCGAGAAATGTTTTTTATCGTGACTGAAAAATACAATTATATTATGAAATCTCAAAATAACTTTCTCGTCTCAGGAAAACAAAAAAAAAATCGTTTTTTCTTTTTATCTGGCAATGCAATGTCATACTTATTGTGTGTGTCTCTTATGTGCGTATACAATGAATTTTAAATTACATAAATGACTCGCCTTTGTTTTTTTGCTGTTTAACCAATGCTAATTATAGAGTTTTGAATCTTGTTTACGAGTTTTTTCGTCTGTTTTCCCGTAGTGTGATTCATATTCCTCGTGAAATTTTGAAAATAAAAATACAAAAACAAAAAAAAAACATGCTGTGTAGTGCTTTAATTCACACCTCATCTAGAGGCCCACTCTCCGAAAATTGAAAGAGAAAAGTCAACAAGTTTGCCAGAAAATGTAAGTTTCATCAGATAAACTTTGGCAACGGTTCATGTTGCGTTTTTTTCATAGCAAGGTAGAGTAGCTTTGTTGTTTCTGGAACATAAATAAGTGTAGTAGCGACACTGACCACTGTGCCTTCACACACTGAGGTCAGTCTTGCAGATCGAATCCACGAACAAAAGCCACTCACATGACACTTGATATATTTCCAATAATTACCGATCACGGCAAAATATCTCTGCTTTAGTATTTCCAAAATATTTTTAAAATTATCTTGAATTATTTTGACAAATATAGAAAAGGGGAACCTGAAAATATTTTGAATTATTTAGCCAACATCCTGCCAAAGAACGGACATTCTAGGGAGGCACGTGGATACATTTTGAAAATTTTTTCAACACGTATGCATGACGAAATTCTATGAGAGATATTATGTACATATTAAAAAAAAAAAAAAAAAAAAAAAAAAAAAAAAGTATTTTTCTCGAAAAATTACGGAGAGGAAAAGGGGGCATGATCCCGACTAGACAAGCGCATTTTTAAACAAAAAGTTTTACATATAAAAAATTAAAGGCGCATTTGGACCCAATGAATCCGGTCTGCAGAATGTCTGTTTAACCGCGAGACACCCTGTATTTTCTGCATTCGAGTCACCATAGACACTGCCCGACAAATTGACAATTGTTTTTTTCATACTTTTTATTATTTATTCTTGGCATTTTTACACTCAATTTCTCACCTTTGACAAGTACTCTCCCCATTCGTTTGCGTCGCATGAAGTTTGTGTGTGTGCTCTTCCCGAACTCATCGAAAATTGTTGATGCAGTTTTTGCACTCAGCTCTCGTATTTACTTTACTTCAAGTTCGTTGCGCGACCGAATTGACAAATAATATTTGCGATGCACGCGTTTGAATGGCCCTTGTCTTTGGTGAACTCTCATTTGAACGACATTTATTAAAAACATTTTAAATGCTATGTACATACCCCCTCCCCTTTTACACCCTCACACGCACCTATGCACCATCACCCTCGCCAATACTGCATTTATTGCGGTAGCGTTTTACGTTTCACGGTGCACAGTGGATCGAGTCAATAGGAGAGGTCGGAAAAAATTTGGAAACTTTAAACGCTAATAACTCCATTTATACTAGCTTTGAGGTTCTAAAAGTGGCTTCATTGGTTTTCTCGTGAATTTTTTTTTTTCTAGAAGCACCCCTTAAAGTTTAAAATGTGACGAAATAAACATCAGAATTTTCAGTTTTAGTCAAAAACTGCTTGTCCGACCTCTCTGAATGACTCGATCGACTGTGCAGCGTTTCATGTTTTTCCCCATTCTGCATATCGACTGAGTTCGATAGGAACACAGCAAGTAGCATACTGGAAAAAAATAGTTGTTTTTGATGCATCTAGTCGGACATAGTCTTCTTTCAAATATTCGAATTATTTTTATTTTTTTATTTCGATTTTATTTTTTGAATTTTTTTTTTTTTTTTTTTTTTTTTTTTTTTTTTTTTTTTTTTGACGCGCACATATCGTATACTGCCTTAGCGATGGCTACTCTTACTGTGCGGTCGTTGAATGACGCGCTCTCAGACGTGAGGTTGGCTAATTGAGAATGTACTTTGTTCCCTGCTCGACGTGACGCCGCTATCGACGCCAGTCGCAACCTTCGAGCGCCCGATACCCGTTTTGAACCCAGATTTATTAATTAGCCCTGTCACTAGAGAAGCGAGCCCCCTTCCCTCCCCCTGCCCACCCGTCTTTGGCTCCAAGGATAAGGTGTAAGATCAACTTTTTTTAACTTTCGTGTTTTCTTTGGGGCCAAAAGTAAGGGGTAAATGCTTAGAAGGCATACATTTTCGGGATTTTGCTACTTAGAGAACTTTCTCATTAGACCCGCAAGGCAGTGGCGAGGCGTGAATGATCGATTATCAATATTTATTTCTCCGTTTGAAGCCTTGGTAAAGAATCGATTATTCAGGTATTCGTTGCAAACACCCTGTTTATCGATCCTTTTCCATAGGTTTAAATGACAGATCAATCGATATATCTCAGAGCACGCCACGCCACCTTTGCCTTTAACCCCCCGCCCCTCTCTGAAGGGGAGCCCAAAATAAAAAATCAACCATTTTGGAACGTCTCACGTGCTACTGAAAAGATGGTTTATATCTTTTAGAAGGCCAAAACTGATGGAAGATAGAACGACCTCTTTGAATATGATGAATAAACTTACAGTTGAGCACCACTAAGACAGCTAAAAAGGTCAAATGTAAACATAGTCTTCTACATCGCATACCTGAAACAAAGGAAAGAATAAATATAAAATTAGGTTTTTTGTCGTAATTTTTCTTGATAAAATTCTCAACAAGAGAAAATTTTATCTTGTTTCACGTTTGTACGAGCTAAACGCGTCAAATCATTTTGTCGTTCTGAATTTTGTACCTTATCAACGATAGATTGCACACTGCGGATGTTCGAAACTAATTGGATTTCATTTTGCAAGAAGGAACCAAGAACATTTCAATGTTGCCAGGATTTTGCAACTTACATCTTTTGCAATAGAATCACTGAAATCATGCCAAAAAATAAATCTGAAAAGGTAATTTTTGTCTTGAATTAATAGTTTATTGAATGTAAGGATAAAACTTGTTTAGATGATTAGTTTATTTTCGCAAGATAAGAAAAGTTGTACAATCTTAGGGACATTGGAATGATCTTGGCTCCTTCTTGCAAAATGCAATCCAATTATAGTGTCTAAATTTCTTACAGTGTCCTCGAATCCGCGTGGCGTGGGAAGTCTCCGTAAAATTATGGTTAAGAAACATAACATGTAATCAGAGTGCTTGAATTCGTACGTTGTCTGCTACTAGTCAATTACAACCATGAGGCTCAGGGTTGCCACAGAATTTAGGAAATGAAATTCCCTGACATGTCCTTGATTTTCCTGACACATTTCGGTGAAATTCCCTGACAATGTAAGAAATACCAGATGATAAAACGGACATAATAAGAAACAGTGTTCAGGCAAAATTTGTTTTTCAAAACGTCTCATCCATTCTAAAAAGCAAATAAAGATGACCTGACAATTTTTCCTGAAAATTTTTTGTGATTTTTCCTGACAAATCCAGATTTTCCCGACATTTCCAGATTTTTCCTGAATTTTTGAAATTCCCTGACATTTCTCAGTATTCCTTGACTGTGGCAACCCTGAGGCATGCATGCAGTCGAAATGAGTTTAGGCTGAAAGTTGCAGTTTTGTCGCTAAGGAAAAACGGCGTATGAACATTCCAGCGTTGCCAAACTCTCTCCGATAAAAGGTTTATTTTGAAAGGAAGTTATGCATATTCTCCCTCGAAATTTTCAGATATTTTAGATTAAACCGCAAACGATATTTTCTGAAAAATTGAAATAGAAATATTCATAACTTTTTCAATAAGTTCGTAATTTATCAAAAGAAATATAGCAATGTCTGATGGCTCACGCGGCGTTCATTTTTAGCACGTCAATGTACTTCCTTTTGAACACCGAATCCATCGACATTCCGAATTTTTTTCCCTTTTTTTTCGAGATGTGACCCACAGGTCTCCCAACATAGCGTCGGAGGAATACTAAAAGACGCGTTAGAAATTTACGAGGGGCTCCTTACACCTTGTTCCCATGCAAACGGCCCCGACCCGGCTCGTCAAACGAAACTGCCTCAGCGTCGAGTGATCTGTTCCGGGAGCCTCGCCGTCATAAATTTTTCAAAAGCTTTACGGCGTCAATTTTCCGATGTCGGCCTGGATGATTATCCCTCCTCCAGCGTGCCGCGGCGCGAGCGGTCGTAAAGTAAATTTTTTACGAGTCAAAGGCTTCAAGGATCCGGAATCATCTTCCGGGCAGCAGCCTTTGTGTCGCTTTTATGCGCTTTCAAAGATAAAGCCCCGACGAAATGTTTAGCCGCCGGATCTGGTCCTCTCTCGCCGCGAGGCCTCGGGCGCCGGCCGACGATTGTTCCGGATTTATTAATGACTCGATAAAGCCTTGTTAGGCCTTTAGTTTCACCTCCAAGATTCACCTGTCAGATCCAGGCCTTTGAATAAAAGCGCAAACTTAAACGCCATTGTACGCGGTTAAAATGTATTCAACAACTTATATAAATGAATCAGTGAGTTCGAAAACATACCAACTCGGGTTTTTTTCGATTTTCTTTTTTTTGCAGTTTAGTAACAGCTGGACTACATTTTGCAATTTGGAACTGTAAATTCTAGCCCGCTTTAAAAACAACGCATGTGCCATTAATTTCCCTATGCACATAGGTGTTTTTCCACAAGAGCCAGAATTTATATAGTTCTAAATCGCAAAATGCAGTCCAATTATGGATAGAAGCATCTGCACGCCAAAGGAAATTTCGAAATTGCAATCGGAAGTGCTCGAAACAGCGACTGGAAAAGGAAAAAATTGAAGTATTTCACTGGAAATACCAATTTTTGGTCATTTCAAGGGAAAGGGGTGACCATTCGATTTTGCGGTTTTCTTTTTTCGATTCAGTATACCTTGCGCGAACAAGTTATATAAATATTAAAGCGTTATTCAGGTCGAAAAATATACATTTTTCAGGGCAGACTATGAAAAATCAGTATCTGAAAGTCGGTGAGAACGAAAACACACCAACTTGGAAATTTTTAAACGCTTCATTCTCTGTCATCAAACATGGTGTATCGATTTCAACTTGGTGCTTTACAGATTCTCTAAGTACTTGTCCTTTGGCACCAAAAAGGTTTTTCTTAAACTAACTTCTTCACCCGCTGCGCAGTTTTAGGTGTTTCCTGAACAATTTTTTTCTTCCGAGTTGGTGTG